CCCAGCACCACACACACATGCGCACACACACACACACACACACACACACACACACACACACACACACACGTCCATCCACACCCCAAGCACAGTTCAGTTGTGATAGCTATGAAAGAAATCAATCGGAAGGGCAGAAAGTGCTGGAGTGGCAGGGTAGGGTGGTGGTAGGAAGTCTGGACTTGAGACTCTGTGGGGCCTGGGTGGCCACAGTAAAGGACTGTAAACTCTGCACCAAGATGGGAATTCACTGGAGAGCTGGTGCAAGGAGGCGACAAGATCAGATTTATGTTAAGATCATTCTGCCTATGGGGTAGCAATCAAATGCAGACAGACTAGCATCGATGCTAGCCTGAACTACATAGCAAGACTCTGTCTCAAAAGAACAAAAGAAAAAAATCTCCTTTACACACACATACCCTCCTAACACAGGCACACAGCCTTCCCATCTCTTTGACTACTCTGATCACAAGTATAAGCATATACAAAGGATTTAATGTCTGATCTAGTGCTCAGCTCATGAACCCTGCAATAGTGACCTGCAAATTCAGTTGCCCACTGCCCTCCCTGAGCTTACGCGGGTAGGATTGGGACCAGTATGTCCCTGCTGTACTCTCAGGACTGGCACAGTGCCTGGCTTGAGCCAGCACTCAGTGAACGTTTGTCGAGTGACTCAAGAATGTATGAACTATATAAACTTTCCCCTCCACTCTTTAAAAAAGGAACTGCATAGGATTTGATTTTATCACTTCTTTTTTGTTAGTAAAATAAGACTATCCCTGCAATACTAATAACAACGACGACGAAAATGTTAAGCACAAACGTAGAGCGGGGAGCATTTAAGAACCAAAGCGTAACGGGGGGCTGGGGATTTAGCTCAGGGGCATAAGCGCCTGCCTGGCAAGCGTGAGGACGTGAGTTCGATTCGTAGTACAAAAAAAAAAAAAGAACTAAGGGACACAATCTCCATTCCGCCTACCATCGGCGTAGTGAAACAGCAGCCCCAACCCGAGGCCAAAGGAAATCCCATAGCAGGCGCAAGGCGAGAAGGCGGGGCGAGAAGCTGCTCCTAAGGCAGGCGGCCAGGGAGTTCAGCAGCAGCACCAAAATGCGCAGCCGCACACCAGCAGCCCGGGCGAGGCCGGATCCTTCTCGGAAAGGGCGGTTGATGCTTCCCCGGAGGCGGGAGTCAGGACCCTTCTGCACTTCTCATTGGTCCTTCTGGAGACGAACAATTTTCCCTCACCAGTTACAGCCCAATGGGAGGGAAAGAATATTTGTGATCTGCACTACGAAAGACTGAGTCGGTTGACAAGAAGGGACCCGGTAAAGTGGATTGAATTGTCTCCGTGACTCCAGCCCACCGAAACTGAGCAAGAAGTTTCCTTAGTTAGAGAGTTTCAAGACTTTAGTGTCCAGAACCTGTCCCAGTGGGAAGCTTGGTGTCCACCTTCTCTATCTTGTTTAGTCATTTTGGCTGCGACCCAGCCTTTCCTGAGGCTGTATTTTTGTTATGGCGAATTATTCAAGAAGCTTTGCAGGCTGCCGCCATCTCTGGACAATACTACTCCCCCTCCCCTTATCTGTAAGGCATTAATTACGGTGTTCTCACAATCAGAGGGTCCTGAGGCTTTTCTTTTCTGCTTTCTTTCTCTGTCTCTTTTTTTTTTTTTAAAAAAAAAAACAGGATCTCGCTATGTAGCTACAGCTGGGTTCGAACTCACAGTGATCCTGCCTCAGTGTCCCGTGTGCTGGGATTACAGGTGTGCACTACTCAGATCCTGAAGCTTTTTACACCCCACACAGCCATTATAGAAATTTAAGTGTCTGTTGACACTTAACATCTTCCTGTGTTTTAGATCTAGTGGTGCCCAGGTCCCTGCTCTTGGCAACTTATATTCTATGGGACAGCACAAATAAATAAAAAGATTATTTTTAACTGTCTAGGTGGCTTTTCAATTCTAGAATCTAGTAACACATCATTGCATAAAATCAGTGTTCTTCACAAAATAATTTTAAATAGTACTAAGTGGTCAAAACAACAAGCCAGGCCTGTGCCCGGGAGTCTTAGGTGCCTGAGGCCCTGAGTCTGAGCTCAATGCATTGTGATAAGTGATGATGATAGACTGGGACAGGTTTGGATGCTCACACAGTGAGATTGGAGCTAAGGCTCAACTTAGGTGAATCCACCAGTTACAAGGAAAAGTGTTCCAAACTTGGGAAACAGCACAAGTGCAAAGGTCCTGGGGTTTGGAGACAGATTGGCATCAGTGTGGCCCAGGTTGGAGATTACTTTAAATATAATGGGAAGCCAACAGATTTATGCAGAGCCTTCATAGAACATTATTCATCATCTCTTGAGAAGTGGAGAATGAAGTGTTAACAAGGAGTGCAAATAGACTAATTCAGAGATTGCAGAGAGGGTAGTAGCCTGAACCAGGTAGAAAGGAGGTGGCAAATATAGATGCATTTGAATTTGGATTGCTGCTGGACATGGTGTCCTACATTTAGAATCCCAGCATTCAGGAGGCTGAGGCAAGAGGATCACTGTTAGTAAAGCCTGAGTTATACAGTGAGTTCAAGACCAGCTGGATTATATATCAAGAATCTAAAAAATAAATAAAATAAAATAAAAAGGGGCTGGGGATTTAGCTCAGTGGCATAAGCGCCTGCCTTGCAACCAGGCAGTCATGAGTTCGATCCCCGGTACTGATAAAAAGGAAAAAGGCAAAAAAAAAAAAAAAAAAAAAAAAAAAAAAAAGAATCTATCTTAAAAAATAATCAAAACAAAAAATTTGTTTAAAGAATTTCTGTGTGGAGCCAGGCATGGTGGTATACTCCTGTAATCTCAGCACTCAGGAGGCTGAGACAGGAGAATCATTGCAAATTTGAGACCAACCTGGGCTACAAAGTGAGTCCACTGGCCCTGAATCAAGGCCGGCAGCTTCCTGACACTGTTGGTTTCAAGCAGGAGCCTCAAGAGATGTCTTTCTATGGTCTGTTGGCCATTTCAGAACTTGGGCAGTGAAATGGTCAGTTCATTAGAAAGAATGACCCCACCACCTTGGGTTGAGGCATGAGAACTGCTGTAATTTTGAGAGTTTCAAGACTTTAGTGTCCAGAACCTGTCCCAGTGAGGCCAACTTGGGCTATACAGTGAGTTCAAGGCCAGGCTGAACTGCACAGGAGACCTTGTCCCAAAAAACAAAACAAACAAAAACAATAAATACATGGATCTCGGCAGAGCCAGCAACATAAAGAGGTAGAAAAACAGGATGTAAACCACGTAAAGTGGTGCACAGCTATAAGCCTAGTTCTGAGGAGGCCGAGGCAGGAGGATAGCTGAGAATCTGAGACCAGCCTGGGCTACACACAGTGAGTTCATGGCCAGTTTAACTACATAATGAGACCCTGTTTTAAGGGGGAAAAAAGTGCCTTAGAGAGAACCCTGGGGACTGTTGTGTTCAGCAGTCTAGCGTGTAAAAGCTGTTAAAGGAGATCCAGAAGGTTAAAGTATCAGAACAAATGTGATATTTTAAAAGACAAGAAAAGGGAAAATTTAAGACGAAAAATCATGATTATCAGGATTAATTGCTGTCTTGGGGTCAAGTGAGATATAGGTAGAGAAAGTATCACTGGAAACTGTCCAAAGCAGTGGCTAGCCTGGTGTGGTGGGACACAGTGGTGATCCTAGCACTAGGGAAGCTGAAGCAAGAGGGTCACATTGGCTACACAGAAGGTTAAAAATCGGATTGAAATATATAGCAAGATGACCCTGTCTCAGACCAAAAAAAAGGAGAGGAAGGAGGAGTACTGGTAGTAACAGTAATACCGGGAGAAGCCTGACGTCAGTGGGTGAGGAGAGAACAGAGGTGCATGGGTGGAGAGGAGGTGACAGCTGCTTGCCAAGTGTGAGGTCCTGAGTTCCAGTCCTAGTTCCAAAAAAAAAAAAAAAAAAAAAGGTGGAGAGGAAGAAGAGAGGAAATCTTCTGCTATGCTAAGCAGCAGATATAATGTGGTTTTTGGAAATAGCATCTTGAGTTTTCTTTGAAAGTCCAGGAGAAATGCCAGAGATTTAGCTCTTCCACACAAGCACCTGTCTGGCTTGCGTAAGATCATGAGTTCGATCCCTGGCACACTCCCCCACCCCGCAAAAAAAAGTCCAGGAAAAACCTATGTGTTCGAAAAATGTCTATAATCCCAGTACTCAGGCAGCTAAGGCAGGAGGACTGCAGCAAATTTGAGGCCAGCTTGGGCTACACACTGAGTTCAAGGCTAGTCTGAACTACATAGCCAGACTCTGCCTCAAAACACCAAAAAAATGTGTTTAAAAAAGTCCAAGAGATGGCTGGGGATTTAGCTCAGTGGTGTAAGCATCTTCCTGGTGAGTGCAAGGTTGTGAGTTTGATCCCTGGTTTAAAGAAAAAAAAAAAAAAAATCCAACAGAACTGGGCCAAGTGGTCCACACCTGTAATTCCAGCACCAGGAGGCTGAGGCAGGATTACCACAATTTTGAGATCAGTTTGGAAAACAGCAAGACCCTATCTCAAAATAAACAAATAAAAATTTAAAAAGTCCAGAAGCCAGTTGTGGTGGCATACCCCAGCTACTCAGGAGGCTGATGTAGGAAGACTGCAAGTTCCAGGCCACCCTAGGCTGCTCAGGTAGATCTCCCCTTGTTTATTTATTTAGTTATTTATTTCAGGGCTCCGGGAGGATCAAAACTCTTTGCAGAGTTCACAGACTCTAGTGGCTAAGATGGGGATATTTCTGGATAGCCCATATTTATTTAGGAGGTTAGAGTGGAAAATGCAGGAAACTGAACAGACCTTGGGAGTGTTTCAGGGACTTTTCTAAGAAACAAATTATGTTAATTTAGGAGAACTATCTTATGAAAAGATTTTCATGTCACATTTCACTACAGGAATGAAATGTCTGCAGCTAATTGGAGTTGGAGCCAGGTGTCAATCTCCCCATATTAAAAAAAGGAAGTGTCTAGCAAAGAAGGGAAACTGAAATTTATTGAAGGCTTACTTAGTATGTTAAGAGCTTTACAAACAGTCATCTTCACAATGTTTTACTGATCGGGCAAATGAGGTTAAATAATTTGCCCAAGGTCATGCAGCTAGAAGTGGCAGAGCTGAGGCCACCTGGATTTCTCTGATTCTTTTCACGCCTGCCTCATCGCCCCACTGCACAGGCACAAATGCTCCTGGACTTAGATGTCTAGACGTGCATTACCTGTCCAGCATGCTCCTGAGAACACAAACAGCCACTCTCCAACTGGAGAGAGTTCAATGCTTTTCCTGCTCCCACACTGTAAGTGGGGCATCTCCCCCATAGCCCGCATAGCATAGGACAGAAGCTGTCACAGGACAGATGCAATCTCAGTCCAGAGGGGCAGAAAGCAGCAGAGGCCTCCAAGGGTAGGAGGGAAGGGGCACTTTGCGGGTACACACAGCAAGTTTCTTTGTGAGCCAGCTAGGACCGCTGGGGAATGTGGTCCTACCCAGATGGTGCCATGGCCCCAGCGTTCATGTGGATCTGTTCGGTGTGACCAGAAGCCCAGGTCAGAGTCCAGTCTCCCGGCCGCCCCCACTGAGGCTGAGGCTGTGGGGGCGAGTTCCACGCTCCAGCCTCCGGCCTGACAGGAGACGCCGCAGTGAGGAGCCTGAGCTCAGATCACCACAGCTTCGGAGGTGGAGGCTCTCTCGGCCCAGCCGGCCCCAAGGGCTCCGGGGCACCTGGAGGAAACACAGAAGACGGTGTGGAGTGGCCTATTCTGAAGCTCTAGGAGTTCCCAGGGATCTTTCCCTGAATAGAGTATCTACCTGCTTATGTCCATGGGCTCCCATCCCAGTGGGATCTGGTGACTTCTTGGACATCTGAAGGAAACGAGTGACCAGGCCCCGGCCTGGCCAGTTTCCTTTCAGGTCCCCCAGAGAGTGGGCGGGTGCAGGGCCCGAGGGCAAGGCAAATTTACGGAAGGTGGGCACAGGGCGCCGCTTCTCGGCTGATCGGGCACGGAGCAACTTGGGGGAAGGGCAGGGGGCCAGGCGGAAGAGGCAGGCTTCAGAACAGAGCCCTGAAGAGAAACAGCAAGAGCAGAGTGGAATGTGGGGGTACATGAGGACTAGGTTGTGTCCCCTACCCTCTACCCCAGTTGCCAACTACATGGCTGACCTGTATCTGCAGAGGAAATGGAAGCAGCTTCTTCCTCAAGCACTTTGGTATAAAGGTCCCTGAAGTCAGCTGAGGAGGAGAACGACAGGGACTGAATGCGGACACGCTGGACACATGTGCTCTCCCATAATCAGAGGACCATTAATTATGTCTGGCTGCATCAGCCAGTCCCTAGATGGTACAATGTCAGTGCTGCTGACATTACACCACCATCATTGCCGAGGAGCTTGTGTGTCATTTGGCATTATCTGCTTCCTAGGCACCAACCACCTGGGGCCCTGCTTAGCTTCCCAGGTCGGACGAGGCTGGGCACCTTCAGTCTATTTGACTAGTATTATCTTTTCTCTCAGCAATTCTATAGCACTTTTGTTTGAAATGCTGTTTTTATACCTGTTTTACAGGTAAGAAACTGATATACCAAATCCTCACCCACACCTGTAATCCCAGTATTCTGGGAGGCTGAGGCAAGAGGATCCTGAGTTTGAGCCCAAACTGGGCAATTTAATGACTTAGCAAAATCTAGTCTCCAAGTGAAAAAAATTATAAATGGCTGAGAATGTAACTCAGCAAGAATGAAGGCCTGTGTTTAACCGCCTGTCCCAAAAGAGGGGGTGAAAAAAGTCCTTTGTGGTCACTAAGCAATGGACAGCCTCTCTGGGAAGGGTACAGCAGGAGTCACTCTCTCTCTTCCTTAGGGATCTCAGCAGGGCCCAAATCCTGGCGGTGTCCATGATCCCCAGAACTGCAGTGGGGCACTCACCAGTGTCGCTGTAAGTGGTGATGCCCGGGTCACTGTGGGACCGCGGCAGCAGCAGCAGCGGGGCTGGGGTAGCCGGGCAAGGTGACTGGTGCCCGGGCGGGGTGAGGGAACCTGAGCTGTCACTGAAGCGTCGCGCCGGGGCTCGAGCGGGTGGGGCGGCTGCAGGGCGGCTGCCTGCCCGCGGGACCCGCCGCCTCAACTCGGGGAAGCAGGGCCCCACCCAGGGCGGCCAGCCCTCCAGCCGGTGGCAGCTGCGTGCGGCCGTGGGGGCGCCCAGTGCTGGCGGGGCCTCGGGGGCGGAGCAGGAATAGGAGCGCGCGGCGCGCGGCGGTCGCCGAGGCAGGGGGCTCTCCTCAAAGGGGCCCCGCAGGCCGCAGTCCAGGCTGAGGCAATAGCCGGCGCGGCTGCGCTGGATGGAGCGGAAGAGCACGTAATCGACGGAGCGCACGGAACCCTGCAACTCCAGCAGGCAAGAATCCTCGGACGGACTGGAACCTCCCGGGAGGTCGCCGATGGCGGACAGCACCAGAGACCCGCTGTCCATGGACACTGTGGGCAGCAGGGGGCGCTGAAAGCACTGCCAGCATGCCCCAGCTAGGCAGCACCACCTTCTGGCCAGTCTGTCTCCGCTTGTCTCAGAAGAGACAGGCAGGTCTGAGAAGCCACAACCCTCTTTTGTCCCTAAGTCATCAGCTGAGACCCTCACCCAGCCTTCCTGTCCCTGGCATCCCTGCCTCATTCACCCCTCCTCCCAGCTCTCTGCTCACCATCCACAATGGAAGCCACTCGCTCACACATGCAGGTGCCATCGTGAAGCTGAGGATCAAACAGAGTGGCCTGCAGAAGACAAGGGAATCAAAGGTCCAGCCCTGTATACTGGCATGGCCACTCATATGCTCTGGACAGAACTCTAAGATCCCAGACTAGCTCTGTCACTTGGCTAACTTCCCACATGTGTAACACAGAAGTCGTAGTGCCTGTCCTACCCACCTCACCGGGCTCTCGGGAAAATCAAAAATGACAGAGGATGTGGTGGAACTATAAAGATCACAAGAACTATCATTATCCTGACCCACAACAGCTTGTTCAGACTTTTGCCCAGCTCCCTGGCCTACAACAGGCCCTGTACTCACCTGGCTGTCTCCTCGAAGGCCCATGACAGCTTCGTAAGAAGGAGGGCAATCAGTAGGATATAAGGGCACAGGGCTGTCCATGGAGCCATTGTATGTGATGCTGGCAGGAGAGAGAAGATCAAAGTCTGGAAAGTAACTGCTCCCACCATTCCAGGCCCAGCCCAGCTCCCTTCCTTAGTTCCCCTGCAGGACCCCACCTGGCCTCACCTCTGTGCATCTGTCTCAGAGCTGCAGGTATACTCTGGGGGATAGTAGGGCGGTGGGGGCACAGGTGGTACAAATTCCTCCAAGTCCAGCATGGTGTGCAGGAGAGGGGCCGGAGGTGAGGATGTACAGGTAAGTGGCCCCAGGGGGCCTGAGATCGAGCGCTCAGGGGCCAGCTGCTGGGGGCAAGCAGGTCAAGCCTGGTTTCTGGGAGTCCAATTCTTCCTTACCCCCCATACTCTTCTCTTATGTATGCTACTTTTTAGGGCCCAATCCCCTCTAAGAAACTTCAGTTCTGTTCCTGCCCTCACATACAACCAGCTCCTCCTTAACCCTGTCACCCTGAGCCTACCCAGAAATTCTTTCTCCTTAATGCTCCTCCTACCAGAGTCACCACCTGTATTCTCTGTCACTTTATCCCTACCTCATCTAGAGTCTTTTTAACTTTTTAACTTTAACTTTTTAACATTCCTACCCTCTACAGTCTCCTCTCGTGGCCCAGACTAGCATCATCACACAGTTAGCCCCAGATGCCCAGAAGCCAGCCCTATGGTCACTGGCCTTCAGGCCCAGTTCCAGCACACTCATCCCTGGCCTCTCATGCCTGGCTGACACTACCTGCCTCTGGGTCCCCTCTTACCGTATGCATGAGGTCCAGAGAGAAGATTTGGATGCAGCAGACTATAGCAGAGAGGGTACAGATTATGGCAGCACAAATGGTGAGCCCACAGACACTGAAGAGCAGGTTCTGCATCAGGGAAGAAGGGAGGCTCAGGGGTCTGGGAAGGTGTATGTCCCACATATTCCTGGGGCTTCCCTAGAGCACAGTGGTAGAACGCTTGCTAGCATGTGTGAGGCCCTGGACTTGACCCCCAGTGTCCCTTAAACAAAACCAAACCACATTTTCTGGGCCTATGAGGATCCCAGGAAGAAGGGAAGGATGGGAACCAGGAAAATATGGGGGAAGGAGTGGGAAGGATAAGGGGGAGATGCCCACTTACTTTGAGGGCGCCTCGGGCTTCATCACAGGTGGAGTTAGGGGAAATTTTCAGTTCTTGTCCTGGCTCTGGACAGGGCCGGGGTAGGGGAACAGGGGGACAACACACACAGACCTTTCCATCCTGTGTGGGAATGGGGAGGGGGAGGTAGCATCAATCAGGACAAACTCAAATGTCCTGCACAACTCCCCCAACCAGTTCTTTCCAGCTCTCACCCCTCATATCTCACCATGGAGCACTGTCGGAAGTCCCGGGCCAGTTGAGCATTCTTACATGAGAGAACAGAGCCAGCCATGCTGAGCATGACACAGAGCACCGAAAGCAAGGAGAAGAAAGAGATCTGGGGAAAGAGGGTGCCAACTCAGGGCTGAGACCTGCATCCATACCCCTCTGCCACAGATGGAGCCCCCCCCCCACACCTCCATAGACATTTCTGTGCCTGCCTGGCACCAACTGGAAAGCCACTTCCCTTCCTGAGGGCACAGTGGGCATCCTCTCTGGTGCTGGGCACCTGCCTCCCAGGGGGTACTGGACCCTGGCACCTACCACTATAGTGAATGGCCGCTTCCAGGACACAATGCCAACTACCCCGGAGAACGCCAGCTGGAGACAGAGTGGGGATAGGCTCAGCCTGGCAGGGGAGCCACCTGAGTAAGCCCCTTGCCACAGGATGCACCCAGGCCTGCCAGGAGGGACAGGAACAGATGAGGGAGGCAAGGCGAGGCAAGGATATGGGCTTGAAGCTGGCGAGGAGGGGTGGGGCCCAGGAGCTTCTCCCACCCACCACTGAGTACCCTGTGCACCCAACTCACCGAGAACCCGGCCCAAGAAGGACAGGACCTCTTGATGCTCTCAGTGGTGGTGACTGAGGAGGCCACCATGCTGAAGGTTACCACCAGGATGCCTAGGAGTACCTGGGCCAGTCCCAGGGTGAGTAAAGCCTGCAGCCAGGGTCGATGGAGGCGAAGGTGGGTAAGCCCTCGGGTGCTGGGCCGGCTGGTTAGCGAGCGGATGGAGTCGCTAGGCGAGGGCATCATGCCTGCTGCCTGGCTGCTTGCGCCTTGCTCGGTACCCTCTGACGCTAAGGAGCATCTCAGAGGCACTCAAGGCCCTGTCCTTTCTCCCCTCCACCCATGTCGTTCTAGAGCCCACCCTCTGGCTGGGTCCCTGGGGGCATAGTCCAAGGACTCCAGCTGAGGTGAGAGCCACGGGATGGGCGTCACGGAGGGAGTGCGAAGTGCTCCCTCCCCACCACGGGCACTGGGCGGGCACCGTGCCTGGGGTGGCGATGAGGACGCGAGGGCACGGGCTCATCGCATCTCCCTAGGGCACAAGGGCGCCGAGAAGGGCTGGTCCCAGAGAGAGCTGAGCGGGCAGTGCTGAGCAGGGAGGGTGGAAAAAGGTCCGGAAGGGGTGCTGGGAGACTCGAGGGGCGCGGTCGGGGCGCCCCCCAGTGCGCAGCAAGATCCTGGCTGCCTGGGAGGAGGCCGCGGCCCCACCTCGCCCGCCCAGCTCCCGCCCAGCTCCAACGTTACTGTGCTCCGTTCTCTGGGCTCGGGCCCAGCAGGTCAGGCACAGAGACGGGGGTGGGGTAGGCAGGGTGCAGGGAGGGGAGCGCGGCGCGGTGCACCCCGGGAGTTGTAGTCTGGACTCAAACCTGGGGCGGAGCACAGGACTAGGCGCCATGCAACCTAGTTTTATCCCGACCCTGGCGGCGCTGCCAGCTCTACCTTCTGTACCCGCCTGCGCCCAGCCTAGCCTCACAGGCTCCCGGCTGCAGTTCCCAGAAGTATCAGGTTCTTCCTTGTCTTTAATGGAGGGATTGGTTCGCTGGTGTCCTGGCGTCTCCACCCCCAATTATGGATGTCCTGCCCCAGCCACAGGGACGATGCTCCCCTCTCCCGCCCCAACATGCTGTTTATACTTGAGCATGGTCCCACCTTTCCCTGGAAAGCCTTCAAACTACCTCCACCACAGTCCCTTCAGTTTGCTTTCTCTCAAAGCATATATAAATTACAGGATCACAAGTTTGACCCTAGCATGGGCAACTTAGTGATTTAGCAAGAGTTGGATTCAGTATCTGCAAACAAATGGGTTCAATTCCCAGGTACTTGAAAAGAAAAACAAAAGGCCTACATTCCAGTAAAAACTCAGGAAATGGTTGAATTCCAGTTTCACTTTCTTTTTATTTAAATAACTGAAGCAATGGCCTTGGCACAGCAGAGGGAAGCTGGGTCAGAGTGTAAGAGTGATGGCAGCAGTGTTGTCTGAGGAGAGGAAGGCCAAGGAGTGACAGGGGTCACAGTGGCCTCCTGGAATCCCTACATCAGGTTCAGCGGTCATGGCTGTGAATTTGGGGGCATTATAAAGAAGCCATCAACCAGTGATGTCTCCCCAGTCCCAGAGACCTCAGGGATAGGGGCTGTGTCAGCTCTTGCAAGAGGCAGGGCCAGGACATCCCAGTCAGGAATCATGGCCCCCGGAAGGCATTTTCAGCAGCCCCAGCAGCTGCATTGGCAGCTGCGGTTCGCACTGCTGGGTTGGAAAAGACACCAGCAGCAAATTCTTGTTGGGCTTTCTGAAAGCTGGCACCTGTGCGTCGATATAAGGAGTGGATCTGCAAGAAGAGGGCAGATGTTACAGCTAAGTGCAGCCAGTGCTACCCCACCCACCCAACTCCAAGGCCACTCCCAGCCTGCTGCCTCTTGGGCCTGACCATCTCTGGAAGCACATACGCACTCATACAGTGCCCAGAGATCCATTAGCTGAGAATTCTCTTAAATGTTCCACTGTGGCCCCTTGGGACCCATGATCTCACCCTCCTGGCCCAACCTCCCACACAGCCCCTCACCCGCTTCAGCATCACAATTCCCAGCACAGCGATGCCAGTGAAGAGCAGGGCAACCAGCAGCATGAGTACAGTTACGGCAGTGTTGATCTTCAGTGCTGACAAAGCAGAGATCCAGCCACTGTGAAAGGCACATGTGAGAAGGGGTGGCTTGGAGCTGGGTCTCTGCTGTCCCAGCTTCTCCACAGGTATATCACAAACATGCCCTATTCCCACCCCTACCAGTCTGGTAGCATTATACAAACCACAATCCCCATTACATCCACTCTTCAGTTTAATTTCAGTTTCTGAACCTTTAGTTCCCAGATCTCCAAGTTCTTGTAGCTCTCTTCCATCCAAACAGACTCCTCTCTTCACTCATTGTCACATATGCCTCCTCTATGAAGACTTCTTGATGGACCACATGCCTTCTTTACCTCAATCTCTGCCTGCCCAGTGTCAGCTGGACTCTCATTCGATAAGCATATCCTCCCTCTCCTTAAAGTAACACGTCCCAAGGAAAAAACACACCCCCTTTCTTTGAACAACCCCTACCACAGTAACCAGTACTGGCTTGGTCTAGAAGAGTAGCAGGGAGGGGAGATGGTGGACTGCGAGCCTCACGGACCTGAACCCCCAACCTGGGATGCCAATGGCTTGGAGGACAAAGAGCACATTCTGGGCGAAGAAAATGAAGAAAAAAACGAAGAAATTGAATGAACTATCACTCCTGTAAAGAGAAAAATATGGGGAGGGTGGGAGAAAAATTAGGACTAGAGGAGCAGGTATGGGGCCTAACACAGGCCCCACATCACCCCCTCCTCCACTTACCGGAAAGCCTTATACATGGGGCGGTACCAGCACACGAAGGAGCAGGGAGTAAAAAGGAGGACCCAGAGCAGAGAAAGCCCAAAGCCCGAGCCACTGTTGGTATCCACACAGAAGCTGGCCAGGCAGGCGAGGAAGTTCAGGAGAAGAGCCGCAGTGCTGCCTATGGGGCACAGGGACAATGTGACTGGGGCTTCTGGACTGGAGCAAAGCCTCTTTCCCCTATTCGCAGTTCTCAACAAGTGGATCATCACAAACAAAGGAAGACAGCTTCTACCTTCATGGATCAAGTCAACAAGGAACACACAGCAAGCAAATCTCATTTCCTCTGACTTCTTCACAAAGACGTTTATTTATACGTTTCTTTGTGGAGCTAGTTTTGTTTTTGTTTTTATTTTTTGAGACCAGGTTTCACTAAGTTGCTCAAACTGGCCCAGAATTTGTAATCGTCCTGCCCCAGCCTCCTGAGAACTAAGATGACAAATATATACCACTGTACCTGGGTCCTTGCAGACTTTTAAAAAACTCAGAATACAACCCAGCAGTATGGTTGTACTCCCAACTACTAGAGAGACTGAGGCAGGAAGATGACAAACTCAAAGCCAGTTTGAGCAACTTAGCAACACTCTATGTTGCAAAATAAGAAAAGCTCAAGGAATATAGTTCAGTAGTAAGGCACTTGCCTACCATGCATGAGGCTCTGGGTTCAAATCATAGCACCACCAAAAAAAGAAAAAAAAAACTCAGCATATATTTATGCACAAGAACAAATGCAAAAGAAGAGGAAAGAACATACAATTGGTAGCAGGCTAGTTAACAGATTAACAGTTTCAAAGAAGTCCTAAATATAATCAAAAGAGTAACACAGTAACTCCTGGAGATATTACCCTTGTTCTCAAATGCTGAGGAGAAATGAAATGTTTGGTTCTCAGTGAATGGAACTCCAGGGCACTAAGAGATCTACCTGTAACTTCCTTCAAAAGGCTTCTCACTACTTACACATCCAGAGGTAGTACATGGTGGATACTGTCTTCTGAAATTCTTGGGGAATCTCCATGGAGATATCTTGGAAAAAGCAGGGCTGGACTGGGCAAAATGAAGGTAGAGGGGGCCAATTGTTCTGTCGAGCTGTAAGGCACAGAGAACAGGAAGACCCCAGTAGTAAGGCAAAGACCGACTAGGGGATTACTTCCTCTTCCTTCTACCCTCAAGTCCTTTCAATCCTGGATCTTCAGAGACAAGGACAAGTTAAAAAGTAATAGTACCAAAATGTTTATTACTACAACATTTCCAACATCTAAACATTATGCCACCAAGTGTGATGGCGCATCCTGTAATCTCAGCACTTAAAAGGCTGAGGTAGGAGGATTGCCATAAATTCAACACCAGCATGAACTGAATAGTGAGACCCATCTCAAAAAAATAAACAAGTAATTGTGCCAAGTATGTCACACACAGTTTTGTTTAACCCTCACAATAATCATGTCAGATACAAATGTTATTCTCGTTTTAAAAATAAGATAATTGGGGGCTGGGGATTTAGCTCAGCGGCATAAGCACCTGCCTTGCAAGCAGGCAGTTGTGAGTTCGATCCCTGGTACCAATAAAAAGGAAAAAGACAAAAAAAAAAAAGAAAATCGCCAGACAAGGTGGCACACTCCTGGTGGCACACTCCTATAATCCCAACATTTGGGAGGCTGAGGTAGAAGGATATTTACAAGTTTGAGACCAGCCTGGGCTACACAGTAAGCCCAAGGTCAGCCTGAACTGCATAGCGAGACCCTGTCTCAAAAAGACAAAAAAAAAAAAAAAAAAAAAAAAAAGAAATAAGAAAATCAAGGCATTTAAGATTAAGTACCCAAGGGGCTAGGGTTGTGACTACGTGGTGAGGTGCTATAAGGCCCAAGGTTCAATACCAGCACAGAAAAAAAAAATTTTTTTTTTTGGTCTTTTTCATTTTTATCGGTACCAGGGATCAAACTCACGACCGCCTGCTTGCAAGACAGGTGTTTATGCCGCTGAGCTAAACCTCCAGCCCCTAGGAAAAAAAAAATTAAAAAAAGAGATTAAATAAGTTGCAGGGCCCATTCTCTTAAGGCGTTTTATTTGCTCTTTCCAAGACATCAGACACTCTTGCTCATCTATCAGATCCTACTCACTGGCTGTGCCCCCCAGGGCAACATGCTGCAGCTCTCGCTCCCTGCGGTCCAGCTCTTCTGCTTTCCGGTTGAGTTCCTCCTGCTTCTTTAGCAGCTCAGCCGTGGCTGCAGCAGCTGAGGCCTACCCAGCATGAAGAGAGGGAGATGTAAGGCCTGGGCCCCCGGCTTCATCCCTCTCCCTGTCCTTGCCTACACAAACACCTCATACCTGAGTGCTGTAGGAGCCATAGTTCTTGGGTTCTGTGGGGCTGAGCTTTCGTGAAGACTGTAAGGAAGGAGCTGAGGGGGCGGGAGCAGGGACAGAGGCAGGAGCAGAAGGTTCATAAGCTGGCGCTGGCTGTTGGAAAAAAAGGTCTTGGAGATCATCTGGTGTCTCGAAACACAGAAATCTAGAGCCTACTTGAAAATCTTTTAGTACCAGGATTCATTAAGGAGGGCAGCAGCTCTTCTTTTAGTTGCTAGTAAGCTAACACTTGTGTTCTGTATATGTTTAAAAACTCTTATGATGTGCAACATCCCTGCACACCTGTCATAGTAAGTTCATCAAGCACTCAAAGTACATACTGACCTACACATCCATTAAACTATTTTCTATCCAGTGGAACAGTCTAGTTTTCCACATCCTTACTTTCTAACTGAACACCTAACCACATTTTCCTCAACCCTAAGCAGCCCCAATCATTATTTTTCTTCTTTTCTGTGGTGCTGGGGATGGAATGTAGGGCCTTGTTCATGCAAGGCAAGAACTCTACCACTGAGTCACAGCCCTAACCTTCAAGTGTTTCCAAGGGGCTGGGGATATCGATCACTGAGATTAGTACTTGCCTAACAAATATGAGGTCGTGAGTTCAACTCAGCGTACCCAAAAAGAAAAGGAAAAAAAAAAAAAAAAAAAAGTGTTTCCAGATAGCTGCCTGGTTCAGGTCCTACCAGACTCCAGTTCCTTCCAAGACTACTCAAAGAATCAGGAATCTATCTATGGCGGACTGATGTCTTTCAGGGAGTTAAGACTACAATGCTTTCTATTTTCTCCATGCAGCGAAGTCCCCTGTCCCCCCAAAGACAGAGCTCACTGTCATACTCTGCCCTTCTTGATCCTGTGGTCTCCAGCAGCTCACCTCCCGGGTCTCGAAAGGGTTGTATACATCAAGCGTGGCATACTGCGGGCTCGGCCGGTGCTGGATCACAGCTGGATCCTAAGGATAGAGATTCCTGCTCAGATGGCACTCGGGGCCGGGGAAACTCCTCAGGATCTTTCCTAAAATACCCGTGGCTCCAAGTACTACCCCTTCAGAGCCGTGATGCTGCCCCAACATCAACTTCAAGTTCGTCGGCCACCGCTACATTGTTACTACCAGTTCATAACAGGGCAGGGTCATCCTCCGCCAAGTATTCACTCGTCTAGAACCACCGTCACCCCCACGTGGCGGCACTTCCCCAGATCAAATGTCACGAGCGGGCACACAAGTTAGCCCGACCCTACGGAACCGGGAAGAATCAACCTGACCAAAGGAGGCCGGCGCACATCACCTGAAAGGGGTTGTCCAGCTCGCCAGACTCGGCGAACGGGTTTCCGCCTTCTCGGTTCTGGGCCATGTTTGTTACTGCGGGATCAGCCGCCCCCTGCCCTTACAAGCCCCTGCCGCGGCAGTGGCGGCAGCGGTGGCCCTGAGCTCCCACCGCTCCTCTTGGTCCGCCCAGTTCTTCTGTGCACGGATTGGCTGAACTGACCGGAAGGGTTTTAAGGATCCCCGCAGCAGCATCGGGATGCGCCTGCGCCTTGACCAAAAGCAAAGACGGAAGTATCTCACGTGACACTTTCGACTCGGCGTCCACAGCTCTGCCTCTTCCCTCACGTGATTTCTCTCCCACAGCGAACTACATTTCCCAGGTGGCCTCGCGCTACAACTCCGGCCATCCGTCTGACTGGGAGCCTTGTACTTGGTTGCAGCAAAAGGCTGGAAGCCCAAATTGAACTTTTTTTTTTGGTACGGGGTTTGAACTGACAACCTTGCATTTGCCAAGTAAGACGCTCCTGCCACCGAACTAAGCTCCCAGCCCAGTTGAGCAGGTTTTGACCTTTTTTTTGCAGTACCTAACCCTTGCACAACTGAAATACCCATTCCAAGTTTTGACTACACCCAGGGGGTAGAGAAGGTACCTACTGGCTACAATCAGACCTTTCCCAACCCTAGTTACTCTGTATCAGAGAACTGCCACCTTGTAACTTGTCCCCATTTTAATCCCCAAGAAATGCTCTTCCACCCTCTGCTCACAACTCGAAGATACTCTGCTTGGCCATGACCAAGATTCTGGATGGCAAGATTAACTCTCTTTATACCGGAACTTTGGGAGGCTGCCAGTGTCACTCCCCCACCCGTTTCCCCAACCTAAAACTCCTTGGGAGGGGGAGGTCAGATGAAGCACGTCATTTATTTCACAAAGACTGTACAAAATTCCTTATAAAACATGGGGTAGATGCCACCTGGTTACCTCACTCCACCCCCATCCAACTCCACGTGAGGGGGCAGGCAAGGGCAAGAAGTGTGGATGAAAAGCATTATGTACAAGGCAGGGGCTGAAGTGATAGGTACAAGTTCTGTCATATTTACACTATTTCACATATTCACAGGTGTATAGAGAGCCAGAGGGCATAAGCTCTGGCTCTGTTCTTGTATATAAAAAAGCACCAGTGTCCTTGACTGGACACCCACTGCTGAAAGAGCTGCAGAGGGGCCCAGAGCCTGATCGTCACCGACTGATATCCCGACTGGAGTCCCATAGCTTGGTGTTGGGTGGCTCAGCCCGAAGGCGAGCGAAGAAAGGATGCTGAAGGGCTTCACCCAAAGTCAGCCGCTTAGCAGGTTCATATTCTAGCATGCTTTCAATCAGATCGAAGAGCTGGTGGTGTTCCTCTGCCTCTGAGGTCAGATACCGCTGGTGAAGGAGGGCAGGAAAGAGGTGAAGGAGGATGCTTAGAAACCCTGCCTTCCTTAAGGTTCCACCTCCATTCTGACTGCTGGCTTACCAGAACCAAGCCATGACCAATGTTTTTCTTTTGGGACTGAGGACTGAATCCAGGCACTTCTGCACTGAATTACATCCCTCACCCTTGTTTTGTTGTTGATTTTGGTACCAGGAATCAAACTTACAACCTTGCACTAGCCACACAAGCACTTGTGCAGCTGAGTTATACTCCCAACTCCCTTTTTTTTTGTCTGAGACAGGGTCTCAATGTATACTGTAGGCTGGCCTTGAATTTACTTGTGTTGATCCTCCTGCCTAGCTGCCCAAATGCTGGGATTACAGACATGTGCCCTCATGCCAGCTTCCTGGCCCTTTTTTTGGTACTTGGAATGAAACTCAGGACCTTGCACTTGCCAGGCAGGTACTTACACCACAACCTACATCCCTGGCCCTTCCAGCCCTTCTAAGACAGGGTCTCACCAAGTCACCCCGACTAAGCTCTAACTTGCAGTCCTCCAGTGTCAGCACTAAAAGTGCTGAGATTACAAGTCTGTGCCACCATACCTACCCCAATAGTTTCCATATTACAGTTCAACCCACCTTTCTACTAGCACAATTACTCTTTCATACTCTTTGAAGGTTTTTCTACTTGTAATTCTTGTCAACTTCATGAGTCTTCCATAGCTTCTCAATAAAACATAACATCTTCAAATGGTAAAATCTTTAAATGGTAATTTATTCTTTTCTGTCTAACCTAAAGAATCCAGGATACTGCTTTGTTCTCTCTAGTTGTCAAGGTTTAACCTCCTTACCTTTACAAACTAGTCCCTATTTGTTCTTTACTAACCAAAGGTTTTTTGTTTTGTTTGATTGTTTGAGACTGGACTTTAAACTCATGACGATCCTCCTTCCTCAACCTCCCTAATGCTGAGATTACAGGTGTGTGCCATTATGTCTATCACAAGATGTCTTCCTTCATTTTTGCTCCCCTCTATTCCTAGCCCTCCACTTGTGCAGTGCATTCCCAGGGCAAACTACCTTAAGAAGGAAGTGACCTCTGGATATTGGGCACTATTTGTCCCTGCCTGGCTCACCCGAAGTGGTTTGCAGTTCTCACGAACGTAACGCCCAGCTGATGTGTTCTCATCCCAATCCAGGCGACCACGGTAAAAATATTTCTGCTTTCTAGAGAAGGGGAGGTTGAAAAATCAGAAGGTTAAAACATAATTCTCTTTTTTCTCCATATGAAAGTGTAGGTGGGGCAGTATAGAACAAAAGAAGATGATGTGAAAAATCAGTTCTTTGGAAAGAAAAGGAAAACATGTAAGTCCCTTCCACTCAAGGTTTACCTCGTTTTTCGAATCATCCGAGAAGGGATGGGACCCAAGATCCTTTCCATCATGGCTAGATGCTCCCTGTTGTCATGAGTCTGGGAAACAAGAAGACCAATTATGACTATGGAACTGAAAAGGGATGTGGAGGAGTGTGCAGGCAGGTTCCCAGCGTAACCAAGAAAACCAGGCAGATGAAAGCCAGATGGTCAAGACCCCTTTCCACTTACCTGAAAGAGAGTGAAGCCAACATAGTACTCAAAGATGATGCAGCCTATACTCCATACGTCACAGGGCTGTGACCAGCCCAACTCTGGGTAGGAACAGGAGGGAACAAGTATTGTAAGGGCTAGAGGACCCTATGTTTACCACACCGTGTTATATTACTTAAGACAGTCTTCACTTCCTTACCAAGGATGACCTCTGGTGCTCGGTAGTGGCGAGTGGAGACAATGGTGCTATGATGCTCATGGTCAAAGGTAGCACTGCCAAAATCTACTACCCGCACAGCTGTGCTCTTTACACTGCGTTCATCTCGCTTCTAGGAACAAAGTAGAAAGTGATGAATCTCTGTACCACAGAATAGGATTCTACCACTATTCTCCACAGTGCTTCAGAGCCTTAAAAAAGCATCTGATGCCAGGTGTAGTGCTACAAGTCTATATAACCCAAGCCAGGGCAACCTAGTGAGACCCTGTCTCAAAACACAACGTAAGAAAAGGGTTCAGGACGTAGCTCACTACAGAGGTCCTGGGTTCAATTCCCAGTACCACATTTAAAAATTGCTGGGGATATAGCTCACATGAATGCCTGCTTGGTAACCACATGACTGCCTGCCTGGTAAGCACAAGGTTTTGAGTCTGATCCCCTGTACCAAAAATAAATAAATAAAAGCAGCTCTAGCCTGCTCCCTGCCACACACTCTGGAAAATCTCCTGACTTAAGAATAGTATTTTTGGGGCCAGGGGTTTAGCTCAGTGGCATTAAGTGCCTGCTTGCCAAACTTGAGGTTGTAAGTATAACCTGCAGCACCAAAAAAAGAAAACGTATTTTTTAACAGTGGGCATGGAAGAGAACCATGATTATGGTGTAGTATGCAAGTCTATAAACATGAGAAAACTATATCTAACTGATGATGTGCTTTTTCTGTTTTTTTCTTTCTTTTTTTTTGGGTACCAGGGATCGAACTCATGACCTTTCGCTTGGCAGGCAGGCGCTTATACAGCTGAGCTAAACCCCGGCCCCAAGACAGTCTTACTGTGTAATTCAGGCTGGCTTTGAACTCACTAGGGAGCCTTAGGCTGCCCTCAAACTTGCTGTGATCCTTGTGCCTCAGCCTCCTGAGTACTGGGATTACAGGTGCGTACCACCAGGGCCAGATGGTACAGTTTTTTTTTAAATATGTTAACATGTAGCAAAAGCTTAGAGTTACAGAAAGTATTTAGCCGTGAGATCTTGCCATTATTTCCAGTCACAGAATTGGGCTTTCCTACCTCACAGAAATATATGCCTTATATAAACTGGGGGTAGGGGTATGTGTGCTTTTTTGCTCCACTGGAAATCCTTTTTCAAGTCTTCTACCAATTAAAGTCTTCTTAAAACTTTCTCTTTCAACCTATTCTAGTATTCTGGCATTACCCAGTTACAGCCAGACACACAAAATGCTGAACAGACATAATGGAGAACAGAAAGAACAAAATCAAATGGTCCACCAGGGCCAAACAGCAGATCTATCCATCTTACCTTCTCCAGGTTGTAGGTGAGCTCATAGTCTGAATTCACAAATAGAATATTTTCAGGCTTGAGGTCCGTATGTGTCAACTTGTTATCATGAAGGACTGTAGGGGAAAATCCCAAGTCAGGCTTGCTTCAGATTGCTAGAGCTTACTGGCAGCAGCTCACCCCAAGCTAGCAACCCAATGTAAGCTGGTGCTGATCAAATCCCTAATTATTAGAGCTGCTTTCTGCTCTACAACTAAATGAAATGCCTGCTCTAAACCCTGCTCTTAACTAATGTAAGATACATATGTATCTCAACTGATACAAAAAAGTATGGTACATGTGCTAACTTATATTGACTCTGACATGACATGTATATCTGACATTCTGCAGACTAAGTTCTGTCAAACAGCTGGGAAGACTCAAAGGAACTATGAATTGTGAGATTTTTCTACCTGGCCTTTTAGCTGAACTACTACACATTTCCATCTGCTTTGCTGCAAAGAGAGCATCTCATCTCAGACATATGTAACCTTTAGCCAATGGGGGGAAAATTTTTTTTTTTTTTAATATAGGGTGCCACTATGGAGTTTAGGCTGGCCTCAAACTAACTTTGAAGCCTGCTGTCCTTGAACTTGCAGGTAATCTTTTTGCCTCAGTCTCCTGAGTGCTGGGATTGTCTTTCTGTGTTTTTGTGTTTGCTATCTA